TTGGGGATGGGATATATCAAGGACGAAATTTTGCAGTCAGAGAACCCGAAAATATCGTCGGCTCGAAAAAATTCGGGGTTTCCGAAATTCCCCGATTCCCGCACCACATTGAGCAATACTGACAATAACAAAATTGCTCATTGTCTAACTAACAGCAATTTTCGCTCATGGATTTTTTAATAATTTGTACTTAAAACTTAAGATGCTACATCCCCTTGGATATATATTCTGGCTTATTAAGTATGTGATCTGATTGCAACTGTATCACTGAATTGAGAATTTCGTTCCTATTCAATGAATTGTCATCGCTGAACCGTATGTAAATCGCTCGGTATATTACAGTCCTTTCTAGTGTTCCTGAAATAGCGATTTCTTAATGAAACCACCCACCTCAACGCTATAAAGAATCTTATACGTGTGTGNCATGAGTCACGTTCACATACGAAAGTACATTGTATATTTGTCATGATGTTAAGCAGTTGCTTCAATCGATAGCTTTTCAATGTGGCTCGAATTCGAACGTATCTCAAAATTTCGGAATATGGTGTGCCATTTTTTCGATAGCAAAGAGAACGAATGAAATTTCAGCTCGTTTGTCGATGTCGAGTTCAGGATCGGGCCATTCGACTCATCCACAGAGTGATAGTGCTCAGTCATCCTCACTAGCATCTGCATCTGCAACTCATCATTCATCCTCCAGAAAACGTAATTCACCAAATACAGGTGTTTATTCTTCATTTGCTTGAGTTTTTCTTCATTCATTTATTTTCATTGTAATTCAGCGAATACAGCGAAGGTGTTTTGTTAATGTGTGATCATTGTTTCTATGAATTGTGTTCGTGTCAAATTATTGAAGAATTTTAATGATCGGTGCCTCGTTTTAACTGATTGTGAGGAAGTTAGGCAAAATTTTGACTATATTACAGGTGCGGCTCGTAAAGAAACTCAAGCAACACAGTCAATCGCCGCAGTGGGATCAACCTCATCGAAACTTCGCAAACTCGCACACTCATCTGCAAATCAGGTGCGTCGTGTTCGACTCATCTTGTGTTGCTTAAAGGATGTATATGACTCTAGAGTAGTGATGAGAAAATCTTTAAGATAAGAAAAGACATGATTGTTGATGCCGATTATTCGAGTAATATCATTCAGTATCTCATCGGTCTTCGCAGTAAACTTTTCTAGTAATTTGCTCAATTCACCCAAC